AAAAATTGGACTAAGTCTATTTGCATAGTCTACAAAAATTGGACTAAGTCTATTTGCATAGTCTACAAAAATTGGACTACTAGTCTATTTGTGCCCAAGGAATCGCAAGTGTATAATCTACAGACTTTGGACTAAGTCTATTTGCATAGTCTAGAGAAATTGGATTAGTCTATTTGCGCCCAAGGAATAGCAAGTGTATCATCTACAAAATTCGGACTAGTCTATTTGCGCCCAACGAATAGCCAGTGTACAAGACGAAGATAAAGGGATAGGAACCATACATAGTTTGGGAAACTTGATCTATTTGCACCCAAGGATAGCCAGTGTACATAGTCTAGAAAAATTGCACTACTGGTCTATTTGCGCCCAAGGAATATCAATTGTGCATAGTCTACAAAATTTGGGCTGGGGTATGGAAATTGGACTGGGTCAGTAGGGCCGAGTATAGGAAGTGTACATAGCTTGCTGTGGAAATGGGACCGCATAAGTAGGGCTGGGTATAGGAAGTGTACATAGTTTGAGAAAATCGAACTGGACATTAGGCCTAGAATAGCAAGTGAAGATAGTTCGGGAAAAAAATGACGTCTTTTGAGTTCTTCATTCTTTCCCCCAAAAGAGGGGCCAAAATAGGAGAAGAAGTTCCCTTTAGTCCCCCTTCTCCGTCCCTACCAAGCTATCGTACCACCGTCTTCCCCTGAACATAATGCACCCTGATTATGAATGTATACAAGCTATTTTTTTCCGGCCCGATACAATCAAAATGCACAAGGTTAAAGGCAGCCCCTTCTGGTCGAATGAGGACTTGCATGTATGCCTGGCAAGGGTGTTAAGATGCGGACTCCTATGCATAGCGGACTGGTCGAGTAGAGTCTCGCACATTGTATAGAAAGAGGGAGAAGAGAGAGAAGGGAAAAAGGAAAGTGTGCAGAATCTTCCATGGATGTACTCGACGCTCTATGCTGCAGAAATGTAAAATGGATGAATGGTCTCAGAAACACAGACTTGGATCTGAGATCACTGAACGTGAACGGACTGGCCTCCTACAACCCTGATAAACGGCAAGCGATATGGGACCAGTTACGAGGCGTGGGGGGGAGAAGATGGTCGGATGTTGTGTGCATTCAGGAGACCCACCTCATGGACAAGCCTGAACATCATAGAGCTCACAAAATGGTTTGGCCCTACGAAGTGTACAAGGCTCATGCACCCACATCAGCCTCAGCAGGGGTTGCGATCCGGATTTTGCCGGAGTCGAGATTGGAAATGGTAAACTGGGCAGCGGACGAAGAACATGGGCGCTCGGTCTTGGTCTTGGGGATGTTGGAATTAGATCTGATTTGCATTTTTTTTCCATATACGCGCCCAACTCGACAACAAAAAGGAGGGTTTTCTTTGAGCACCTCACCTCTCTGGTCCCATCCGGAATCCCCTTGATCATGACAGGAGACTTCAACGCAGCCCCCCATAGGTGGCCTTAATAGGTGGAACCCCTGTGCGTCCTACCCACAACAAGTGGAGGATGATGAGCACACTATAGCTGATCTCTGCAGCACCCTGATTCTGGTGGATGCATTCCGGCTTCACGGACCGATCTTACACATGCATCCGCACAAATGACCCGGCTAGATATTCAGAATCTCGTATTGACTTGATACTCATCTCACAAGAGATTCAAGATGCCTTGCAGTTTGCGGTAATCTTTCCACAAGGCCCCCACCCAGGACTTGATCATTGCACATGCGGGGCAATTCTCTCGTTCTGACAAAAAAAAAAAAAAACAGATCAAGGGCCAGGATACTATAAATGAAAAGTCTCCTTTGCTCAAAAGCCAAAACTTCCAGTCCTTCCTAAGGGATGTCTGGGTCTACTGGCGAGGGTTGAAAGGCGAGTTTGATTCGACGATCACATGATTCACGAATGGGCTGTTTTTCCTAGCCAAGAAAAACAAAGATTATTCTAAATTAGACGCGAGCACGCATCATCAGCAAGAGTTAAATACTCTCAGCCAACTTCATGACCTGGTCAGCCAGGACAATTCTAATGACCATATAGCCACCATCCAACAGCTCAAAGACCAACTCCTTCAGTATGTCCAACACTGATGGCAAGGAATCAGGATCAGAGGTGAGTTATCTAAGTGGACCACTGAAGGAACCCTGGACTCACAGTTCTTCAGCCTAACATCAATCAGAGCTCACCGAAGTGACCGAACTACTATTGAAGCCTTGCTGGATCCTGGGTAAGGGAAGGTGGCTACCAGTACAGCGCAGTGTGTAAAAATAGCAACAACCAGGGTTGCCGTTCGGGACGGGCCGAACGCCCGAACGTACGGGACCCCTTCGGAAGGCGTTCGGCCGTTCGGGCCGAACACGGACCAAAAAAAAAAAAAAAAAGTAAAAATAGCAACAACCAGGGTTGCAGGCGTTCGGGACGGGCCGAATGCCCGAACGTACGGGACCCCTTCGGAAGGCGTTCGGCCGTTCAAGCCGAACGCGGACCAAAAAA